ACACACTAACACGTTATAATTAGTTTCGTAAATCGTAATGCATAAAGTACATGGCGTTAAAAAGTGCCTACGACATGAGGGGCAAGAGCTAACGGGTTTCAAAGTTTATGTATTTAGTTATTCCAAGTATAAATTATAGGTAGGTATATTAATAAGTTCAACATAACAAATTAAATATGTACTTATAAAATTTCCCGTACGCGTACCTATGTGATACTTTCCGAATATAATTATACAATAGGTACATATTATATAGATTATAGGTATGTGTGAGTACGAGATTAAAATGTTTAAAAGTTTTTAAACGGTTTTCTAGCACAACAACTGTAGCTCACCAATTTATTTTAAAAGCAGTTTTACTGAAACTCCGGAGGTGGATTTATCTGCGGCGTAGGTAGTAAATTTAAATCGCGATGGTGTTTGTACCACGGAGTGTTAAAAAACGATCAATCATTTCGATTTAACACAATAATTATAATATTGATTTGCATTGTAGTGCGATCAAATTTGCGCCGCTTTCATTTATATAATAGACCTACGAGATTGACCAGTGACCACAGACCACTTGACCTCTCGCAGCTGTATATGCTAAATGCCTAAATCAATATTCGTTTCGGAATAACTCACGTAGCCTACCTATTATAAAAGAGAAAATAAATGATAATAATAATAATGAACCGTTTCGGTACCATCTGGGATGTATTTATTCAGTGGATAATAATTATTATATACACATCTTCCGGCGTATTTATTTTCGCGGGTAATGAATTGAACGCCAATGCACACTGCACAACACAATCTATTTTTTATCCATCATATTCATCGACGGTGTCATTAATTATTGCTTATTGGACGTAGACAATCGAATGCATTAAAGTTATATTATTATACTGTCGTATCACTTGTATTAGGTCATTAGATGACACGCACTAAAACAGTAAAACCTACCATCGTCTTACTTTCGTCCGTACTCTCTAAGTTAAAGACTAACTTTCATAGGTAGGTATTTGATTGCATTTTTAGGGGGGGGCTTAAATCTCTATTTCTTAGCCAGCACTGTTGTCTGTAAACTTAATGTAAGTATTTCTATCGGTTTAACGTCTATACGTATATCTTTAAGACCTCGTTGACCACATGATAAATACTAATTTACTTCATCGCTGTTTGATTATTTAGGTAGAACGTTAAATGATTGCAACTTGCAAGAAAAGTTTTAACACACATTTTGGTTGGAAACAAATTTATTAATATGTAGCCATGTAGATACTTAAAAACAAACATAATATAATTCTCTATAGTCCGTGTTACAATTGTCGCTTATTTGCATCATACGAATGTCGCACATATATAGGTACACCACACGTCCACACCAATCAAACATTTGAACTTATGGGCAGATTACCTACGGCCGAAGCGAGACTCTATCCTCGTCACATTAATGTTTTATTAAAATATGGTCAAATAATCAAATTTTTTGGTCCAACTACATTCGCTTCATTACCCTCGTCTATTTTAATAGATAACTCTGCTTACTGCTTACTTTACTTTTAATTCTTACTATATTACCTACCCATGTTTTTTTAAATATTTGTAAATAATAAATGTCTGTAGTACCTACCTACGTACAGGCTACAACTACTATATACTATATTATTGTGTCGTGTCATATGTGGAAATAATAGCGGAATGCGCAGCTCAGTGCAACAATATAATATGCATATAATATTACAAAGCGAAATAATATCATTTATTGGTGTTCGTCAAATTTCTAGTGTATAAAGGCAAATTCGTCAAATGGCCAGGGCCCAAGCATATAGAGAGCGTATTTATGACTGGAAGGTATAACATATAGGTATACAGCAAACTCCCCTTCGCGCCTCTCTTTCTGCAATATATTATATTGGAACATACAATATTAGGTATTATATTATGATGTACAATAAGATGTTAACATGTGCTAGAGGAAATCGGAATCGAAAACTATTTCAGTTCACAATACGAATAATATACTTACACGCTGGAATTCAATGACTATGATGGCATGATACAGGTGTCTATTATTTCCGAAGAATAATTTCTTATACCTGTTAATAAAGGAGAAATCACGTTCCCGATTCGCAACGGCGACGAGCAAACAATATAATATAAATATATAATAGGCAATAGTCAATCCATCGTCTATATAGTATATATATATATTATGATAATATTAAATATATAGCTATACGAACACGTGCCACGATGCGCGCTGCAGCCGCACAGTCATCTGAACTTGTTAGGTACCTACGTGTATTGTTACCTATACCTATGGCCGTGTTACAATGCCTACTGACAGAAAATTACTGTAGTAATAATAATATCAATAATCCACATCTAGGAGCGTTTTTGAGTACCGGTATATTTGATATTATACAGTTTTACCAATAACAATTATTCATGGTTAGGTTAATCTCCTACCTACTAATAATTCCGTGCTTCAGCTATGTACGATAATATTATTATATAAACATAATTTGTGTATTATATTGTCGAACAATATTTATTTATTCCGGAGTCAAACGCATATCTATATAATATGTATTATATATGTATAGGTAGGTACTATACTTGTAGAGTCGTATATTATAAAGAGTACAAGCTTTTATTTGTTTTTAATTTTTTTAAATTTCGACCCAGACTGCCTAGGCTTTTAAAACAAAAAGTACCTACAATTCAATTCTTCGATTTTTTTTTTCGGTAACTATTTTAAAATATAACTATTATATTTTATAATATAAGCCCAAGGTTTTCAAATGTACTGCCAAAAATAAGTGTTTTCGGAAAAAACAGAAGAAGTGGGGACACACATAATTGTAAAACTTACTATATTATAATATGGCTGTCATATAACTGGAAGTTATACCCAAAGTTCTAATTTATAAACGAAGTTCATATTAAGATCATTTAATTCAAAAACCTAATTTTTTTAAGAAGGCAATATTATTTTCCAATGGGCATTTGGGTGTGGAGGGAAGCTATTATATCTCAATATTACAATCGTTATACTTTTTCTTAATTATTTGAATAAATGACTACAATTTTCTCATACAATAATATATGGAACAAGATGATATCGCTCTGCTGTACACTGTACAGTAGGTTACAAGTGGGTCACTGTAATGGATGGTATTTCAATTTGAATTCAATGATATAATATCAATGTGCACAGTGGAGTATCCAGGGGGCACAGGGGCCATGCCCCCCTCATTAGGCGGTTATGCTAATTTTGTTTTGATAAGGGTAGACAGACTTATAATAAATCTTAAGTTACATTTTAAAATCTTAGATTTAAAAAAAAAAATTTTGGAATTTCTAAACCAAAATAATTTGCACATTTTCAAAATGTTTACGCTTTTGTCAAAATCCGAACATTAAATGCTTACAAAAAAAATTGTGACTGTATTATTAATATTTTTTAATTGTCATTGTAATAATATAATAATATTAAGGGCATTGTATTAAATTTTAAAGCTTTTTGACCCAACAAATAAAATTTTATCGATATTTGTACAAAAAAAAAAAAAAACTTAAAAAATTTGTATAACCATGTTTTTCAAGGTGCTTTTGAAAACTACTGGAAATTTTAAATTTAGATCTCCCGAATGCACTAACTTTATTTACTTACCCATCGAACAAGATTCATTTGAAAATCGAAGAATTATTTCGACTACTTATCGTGTATAAGGTATACGACACTAAATAAAAAAAAATTAACTATACTCTTACAGAAAATTATAATATCATCCAGATTAAGAAATTACGTGCATGCGCATAGGATTAATAAAGCGTGATTCCATTTCATAAATAAGGTTCATAAATGATGTATCATCGACAGTAATAATATTTGGTTATTGTTATTTCGAGTAAAAGTTCAAAGCTGATTAAATATAATAAATCTTTTCTATATTGCAGTCATAAATAATACATATACAAGCTGCTGTCGTGTATAATTAATTAAAAAATAATAGCTCATCCATAGCGTTCGTAATTTCATATATTCATGTAGGTATTAATTACTAGGTGTTAATTGATAAACGTGTTTAAAGGAATTTAATTTATGTATGTGTTTGAATTGACTCGGGCCATTGTTAATTGTTATGTACCACTGATAATTAGATACTCTTCGTAATCAACCGGTTATTAAGTATAATAATATGATGATGCTTGTTGTTATAATGTGAATTCAAAATACATTTTTTATGATTGTGATTATATATTATATACATTTTTAACATTTAAACACTTGTATCACACTTTTAACACCTATTATACAGTTGATTAATCGTGCTATGATTATCAAATTATTGTATGTATTATCTGGGCCATAGTCCATAGCCCATATTAATGTAGGTACCTATAAATTAAGTGTTTGGTACCCTCAATCAGTATACAAAATATAGCCTACCACGTTTCCATAAAAAAATGTGAACCAAAAGGGTGACATACTGCAAGCGTAACCAAATTATACCTTTATAATTGATTTTTGGTATTCGATCGATAATCTGGGCCACTGTAAATTGCGTCCTATTTTTAATTACCTACTTATTTACATAAATTTCGCCCTGTTTATATTTTGTATGTATGTAGATAAAATCGTGGACTATATATTTACTACAAATATATTAATATTTACTGGCCTAAACTATCACCGACTCGGGACTCCCTGAAAGTCGCTACTGTTAGTCGCTGTATATTATATAGCCCGTAACCACGTATAACTTGAATTTAAGGTCGGGCTTATAGCTACGTGTCGTACTGTCAAGTGCATATATTATCGTATTCCGATTGGCCTTTGTAATCATGGTATCATTCACCGGCCATGATCTATACAGGAAAATTTCCATAGTTGGGCCGAGCTCAACTTTTGCAGGACACGACACGCCGTAGCTCTAAACCCGGCTTTAAGCATGCCGCTAGGTAACCACATAATTATTTCACTTATCGACTTTTCTTGTCACCAGGTTTTGCAAAACTGTTCGGATAACAGTTTTATATGTGTTTACTGTCGTGCTGCTGTTACCACTGCTTTCGACCGCGGTCGGTAGTGGTACCAGTCAGACCACCGCACCATCGGGCGCCGAATTCCTCCACAGCGTCATTGGCAACATGCAACGGCCAACCCGCAAAGTGTTTAACGAACGAATCGACGTCGAAGAATACATACCCGATGATGTTCCGTATACCCCACCGGCCAACGAGATAAAAATGCTGTCGAAACAACAGTTCCATTTCAACGTACGACAGCCAATTTAATTTCACTTGCATAGTTTATACTATTTATATAACAATATGTATTTTAAAAATACAATATTTGACGAAGAGTCAATAGCTATCAAACGCCTTTAATTCGTGTCTATATATCATCATATCAATATGTCTATATTTGTATCGATTGCTGTTCACAGAATCAGGCGAACCGCGTCCAAGCCGATGTCACCAAAAATCAATTAGGGTCTTTAATTTCGCAAATAGCCCCTCAGTTTTTGAAAAACGAATTTGCCGAGTCACAACACAGGATAGTTACCCAAGTAGCCCCCCAACAGTATAACCCGGGACCGACCAGTCCGCAACAGTTTAACACGGTACCCAACGGTCCGCAACAGTTTAGCCCGGCACCCAACGGTCCGCAACAGTTTAACCCGGCACCCAACAGTCCACAAAATATAATTGATGCTATTACGAGTGAGTTGAAAATAAAAATACCAAAAATATATATAAGGTATATATTATGTTAGGTATATGCTGTACCCGCTCACGGGGATTTGACCCACTGTGATTATGAGCATAATAATAATAAAATATAACATAAACCACGTCGTTTTGCAGGTGACACGGCGCAGAGACCGCCGGATGGCATGATTTCCGGATATAATTACTTCTTTTATCCGTTGGACAACAATGCGCTGCAACAGGTGCAGAACGGAAACGGCAATCAGATGGCTCAGACGACAGCGATGTCGGAACCAGAAAAGCCTGATAACCAAGCCATGGCCAAGCCCCGCGTGCAGCCGCTATTCGTGGCCATGGCCGGATTCGTGGGCGTCGCGGTGGTGTTCCTCAGCGCCCTCATGTTCGTACCGATATTGCCAATACACGCTCTTACCTCCAAGGCGGCGCTGAAACGTGCTCCCGAGGAGCTTGCCTCCCTCACCAAGCTCGTCGCTGAGTCCATCGACGGAAAAGACTGCAGCGAAAGGATAGCGTGCGAGGTCGGCAGGGCCATGCGATCCATGCGAGTGGGCAACAAGCCCATCAGGTACCTATATTTTATATTTACAATCCATGACGAATTGAGATACTTTAAATCATTTATAATAATGACAATAATAGACAAAATGAATAGTTATATTAAAAGTACATGAAATACATTTAACAATGAGTAATTATAAGTAAACGTGATGTAGGTATAAAAAAAAAGTAAGAAAATATAATACAAGACATTAACTTTTAGAAGCATCGTAATTATAGGGGTGTTCATTTTTAGATAAATGTATTATTATCTTACCTACCGTAAAAAAAAGTTTTCCACACCACCACATGTGTTGTCTATACTTGTCTCCATCTTACAAACGTATATAACATTCCAAATTGTACGTTCATAATAATCCATTTTACACTGTTATTTTTCAAAGTTGAGTGAATTTACCTATTATAAAATTTAAAGGCAATATATTATCATCTAAGATACCTTGGAGAATTTTATTTTAATTTTAATTTTCAAGCAGAAAATTATGATAATTTTAAACTTTAGAAAAAATGTATAGTTTTAAAATGCTCATAACTTTTCTTGCACCACTTGTGTGGCATCCTCTTTATACTCATTTTGTATTAGGTACTTAATAATTTTGAAGCTCTTAGTTGACAATTTTGACATTTTTGATTTATTAGTTCTGTTTTTAGCCTTTTAGGTCGATTTTTTTCGATAGGTACCTATTTTAAATAATTTTCATCAATTAAAAATGTTCAGACGCAATTTATGAATTATTTTTAAGTTTTATACTATACCTAGGTATGTATTTTTTATTTCCAAAAAAAAGTCTACAGACTAACAAGACGTGTTATCTGCTTGTGTAACTGTGAGGACATGAGGTGACGTTTGAGCATATTTAGATAAAATCGTAGGTCACGAGAGCGCCATTTCAATGACCAATTTGAGCATGGCAGATAAATTTCTTCAGCCCAAATGAGTATGGTTATAAAATGTTCGAATGAATTTATATTTATACCAAGTCTTTAATTTCCAATACGTTTATCGTTTATCATATTACTATCATTTATATTGTAGGTACCTACAGTGTGTAATAAATATGTATAGTGTAGCGTTTAATTCGTTTATTTTTCAATAACATTTAAATACTCTCGTATTATTTTCATATAACTTTATAAGTATCTTAGTTGGACTTATTAAGTTAGTGATGGAAGTGCAAAAAACTATATTTAGTAACAACGGCAAAAGTATTAAATTATTATTGTTGATGTCTTAATAAGTTTCGATTAATTAGAATTCTTCAATAAATTAAATTAGTACAATACCTTTTATCAACAATAATTTTAATGAAAAATAAATTAGTGTTATTTATTTCTTTCTGTGCAGTGGCTATGCGCCTATGCATACATTGTTTCACCAACAAATCACTTTATTTTATATTATAGACGGTTATTACTATTAGGTAATAATAAATTAATTTAGTCCGTCACTGGCTCAAAATAAAATATAATATAAACTTGATGAAACCACTTTAACGCGCTACCAAATTGTACCTACTCTTCGTCTACCCGTCAAATAAATCCAACTACTCATCCATTAAATTACACATCACATGGGTACCTAACTATATGTGCCAAAGGTGAAACCGACTTTCGAATAAGTGTCTCTGGACGTAGGTCAAACTACACAATAAAAGAGACAGGTAGTGTTTTTACTTGACAAATATATTTTTATTTAATGCACGAATTATTCATTTTATGATCTTTTAAATGTTTTGGTTATCTTACCTACACAGTAGACACCTAATAAGTAACTGACCAGAATTATACGAGTTAATGTGAAAATCATAAAATTAATAATAGCGAATTCTTTTTTCAAAATAATATTTTTTTTCCTTCTGAAGATTGAACTTCAGAACTGCAGACTCTAAACATTAAATACAATACCTAATAATAATAATAATAATACACCTACAATATATGTATAGGTATAATATATAAATTACCACAATATTTAAATTGTATGTGATAAATTATAGACATTATGTGTTTTTTCTAGTTTTTTCCTATTTTCGAAGTAAATAAAAAATTTAAATATATAAAAGAGGTATATATTTAAGTACCCAAATGACCACTAGTGCTTTCGACTTAAGGCGCATTCACAGCTACGTCGTGTGTCGTGTCGTGCGATAGCTTGATTATTATATGGTTACGACTGGTAACCAATATACTTTAAAAGTTGAGCTGTAGTCAATTCTTGGTAACTCGGTCGCCACTTGGTTATTACCTGATACCAAAAAAGTAATATCCAATCACAGTACGATTTGATCGACACTACACGACACACGAAGCCGCTGTGAATCCGGCTTTATAGAACGATTTAAGATAGTAAATATACTATCTTAAATCGTGCTTTATAGTTACAACAATTTAACACATCATATTATAATTATAACGTAGCCACGTAGGTATATGTATAGTATATTATATATATATAGATATATTTATATATAGTATATAACGACTTCTATGACAGGCACAAACTATATAGCCATATAGATAGATAAGGTAGGTAACTACCTATCTTCAGTGGCGCCCAAGACATATTTTTCAGATGTAACAAGAAAAATTTTATCCACCCACCCACCCACCACCTCAAAACTCAAAATTATATTATATTATACATTTTATCATATTTTAATTGATAATATTATTAAATATTAAGGTATTAATTATTATAATCTGTGATTAATTACGAACATATTTCAAGTTGATTATTTAATTTTATTATACCACCCACCAATTATTTTCAAGGTGTAGCGACCGCTATACCTAGTAATAGGGTTGGGCGCCACAGATAGGCTATCTTTATTACTCGTGATTCCAGCCACAAAACTACAAAAGTAGGTATATATAGTTACCAAATGACATTAAATTGTGATTATTTTATTTAGGTGTAGGTATGTATAACAATACATACATAATTATACCTACCTACACGAGATACATACCTAAATACGAAAAAAATTTCCTTTTTCGCTTTTATTGTCTTAACTTTTAAAACATTTGGTCTTTTATACATTCGATGTTTGTTATTCGTGATTTTGAGTTTTGGGGCAATTATTTACAGAATTATACACGATAATCGTGTTGAAGCGATAGTTTTTAGATTCTGTGCGGAGCGATGAATGTATTGATTTTACAATGATGTGTGTTTTTTTTTTGTGTCTGTCATCACTTTTCAGCAAAGCTGGGCACTAACTAGTTAGAAAGTTAAAGTTAAGTTAGAAAGTTACTTTTTAAGTAACTTTCTAACTCAACTAGTTAGTTTTAATTCAAATTAACTTTGTAACTTAACTAGTTGAATTTAATGTGTAAAATAGTCTAATTCAACTCGTTGAAAAAAAAACTAACTAGTTATTATAATTTTTTTTTCATTCCAAAATGAATATTTTAATTGTAATTAATATTTTAAGTTGTCATACTGTTATATATTGTTTTTATTTTATTTCATCCTTTATGTTCTGATAACTGATAAGTGATATAATAATTAATTTTCAATTAATTGAAATTATTACTTACCTAATTAGTAATTAGATCATTTTGATCAAATGACTAGGTGTTTAATTAAATTTTTCAGTTTTAATCAATAATTTAAGTTAGATAACTTATTATTTACATTTAAACAAAAATGTTTTTTAATCTATAAAAATAAACCAACTTCTACTCTAACTTAAGTTACAATCTCCACCAAACTAACTTCTAACTAAGTTAGAAATTTGGACAGTTTCAGAAACTAACTTATATTCTAACTTAGTTGGTTTTTTAATTAAAGTAACTTAACTTCAACTAGCTGAAAAAAATTACTAACTTGCCCAGCTTTGCTTTTCAGGACAGTAAAAATTCATAGATTTTCTTCAACAGTATCTTTTCTGATAGGAAAGTGAATCTAGTTGGTACTTTGGGGGGTCAAAAGTAAAAATTTCCCATAAGTTTTCAAAAGTGCCGTGAAAAACAAAAGAAAAATTAAGGAAAAACGGGCAATTTTACGCAAAATCTGTTTTCGAGAAAATCGATTTTGGTATTTGATGCAACTCTTAAACAAATGACCTTAGGTAAATTAAATTTTGACTGAATGTTTATATTATCATTTTCTATACACCATAAAATTTTCCAAATATTTTGACCTATCTTGAGCATTTTACGGAGATTTTCATTTTCCTATTTTATTAGTATTCTTTTCTATAAATGTCAATAAAACTTTATTTGTTGGGTAAAAAAGCTTGAAAATTTAATACAAGGCTCCTTATATATTGTTACAATGAAGTTTGAAATATATTGAAAATCCTTATTCACAGTTTTTATTTATAAGCATTTTAAGTTCAAATATTGAAAAATACGTAAAAATGACGAAAATTTGCAAAATTATTTTGAGTTAGATATTCATAAAATTTTTTCTTTTTCAATCTAAGATTTGAAAATTTAATACAAGATTATTCATAAGTTTTTCTACGCTTATCAAAAAAAAATGTCTTCTAGCAAATCAAATTACATTTTTATGTGCGTTTGAAGTTCATATTTTTACAATATTGGATACTGAATCGATTTCTCATGAAGCGATTTTGTTATTTTGTTGTTACTAAAAAATGAATAACTGTAGATACATGGAAATAATCATTCTGAATTTTTATATTTTCATTTTCTATACACCATAAAATGTTGACTCTATTTGAGCTGTTTACAGACATTGTCAGTTTTCAATGTTTTTAGTTTTTTTTTTCTATAAATATCAATTTTTTTGTTGGGTAAAAAAGCGTGAAATATTGTAGGATGACTGACCGTTTTAGCTCAGAATCGTTTTTCTTATACAATAATATTATTATATCATTGAATTCAAATTTAACACCATCCATTACAGTGACCCACTTGTAACCTACTGTACCTACAGCAAAGCGACATCCACTTACCCACCCTATTTTGTGTTATTTTCCAAATATTTAAACAATTTTTTTCTTTTTTTGATTACAGAATGATGGAAATAATACTACCCCCAGCGGTGGCAAAACAGCTAGCTCAGATAAGAAGGTCTGCGACAAAGAAAGAACAGTGTCATTTCATCATGTGCAAAAAAACTGAGGGTACATTGCATTTGGTGGCGAAACTAAAAAAAACTCATCACAACAAAACTATTCACGATGTTAAAGAAATTTTTAACATTTAACAAGCACCGTTTTTGGATATTAATTTATTCTAGATGTTAAGTAAATTATTCTATGTTTTAAAGATTACTTAAATATAAGTAAGTGTTTCAGTTATGCCAGGGCTGGGCAAGTTACTTATTTCCCACTTTTAACTCATTAAATTTTTTTTTTAAATATATTCAAGTAATTAGTTATTCAACTAGTTATCAGATATTTACCAGTAAAATCCTTTTTATTTTCTTCTTCTATGAAAAATATGCTGAAGTGGTTTTATAAGTGAATTTATTTCATGATTTAAACTAAAAACCCTTACAAAATTAACCCTACTTTGAATGATAGAATTTCTTGTTTTAGGTTATTGTGAGAATCGATTTTTGGCATTTTAATTAAAATTATGTAAATTAATAAATAACTATTTTGATTTCTCAAATGTTCGAGTGTTTAATTTAAGAAAATAAAACAGTTAGGTATTTAAAAATTGACTTTCACAATAACCTAGAAAAAATTACTAAAAAACTGTTTAAATTTCTTTTAAAAGAATACCTACATATATTATTAATTATTATTATAGTATTTAACGAACATTGAAAAATAATATCCATTCAGTATATTTTATACTCTAAGCTCTATAATGTTACTCGAACAACTAACAGATAACTATAATTTTTTTTTTTTTTGCCATTTGTACATTATTGTGGATAATATTTAATTTATAAGTATGTGTGAATTATTGATGTTCTATACTTCAGTACAATTATCTCAGTTCAAAATATTTATAGATATTTATATTTAAATATTTTTTCAATTCAAAATTTATATAAATATCAAATAATAATAATAATAATAATAATAATAATAATTGAAATTGTTGTTATTTTATAATCTATTAAGTATGTCATGATTTATGAATAACTCATTTCAGTGTGATGATAAGTAACTTGTCAATTGAACGAGTTGGTGTACCTTAAAATAAATTAATAAACTAAAAATCAAAAATCAAAAATTAAAAAAAAAATTCAACTTCAATTTCAACTTTGAATTTGTTAATGCCCAGCCTTGAATAATGTTGTTGGCCTAGAGGTGATTCTAATTGGTACTTTTCCAGGAGTATTGTATAGGCAACTCATTATGTCGTGACAACACTCTAAGATACAATATTGTACCTACTCTGGCATGAAAAAAATTACAAACAAATTAAAAACGTTTGTGTATTTGCATTGTTTGAGTGACTTTCATTTTATAATTAAAAATTAATAAATACATTTCCCTATTTATTTTAATTTGTAAGATGCTAGAAAAAGTTATTTTAGCAGAACTGATAGGTAAATAGTACACCAAATATAATATAGGAATTATGTATACAAATAAACATAAAAAAAATAAAAATACATTTATTATATATTTTAACAGTTTGTATTCATTTTGATGAACTTCTACCTACCATAATATAACAAGTGTTATTTTTTTATGTAAATTAAGAATGAGAAAATTAAAAAAAGAACATTTTTTTGTAACATTGACATATTTTATACTAATTTATCGACATTACAAGTTAACATTGTAACACATAGGTAGGTATACTGAATTTATTCATTAACACACATTTATTATTCTATATTATGAGTATATGAATATTTATCGTATAACAGTGATGTGATGAATTTTTTTTACCTTTAATACCAAAAACATTTAAAACACATACTAACCTCAACAATTTATAAATTTATAAAAATAAATAATAGATTTTTTTACTACAGATTGATTTGTAATATTGTTCTTGAATTTGACAAATTTTATATTTTAAATGTTCATGAAATTGTAGTTTGCATTTAAACTATTTTAAAGTTTCTGGAATTAATAATTGTTGATTTACAAGAAATAACATTAATTATTATAACTATTATCAGTTTATAAAAATAATCATTTTTTGTGTTAAAATTAAATATTCAAATACCTACTAATAAAAACATATCCTAACAATTATTTTTTATTTCAATAAGAACTTCTGAATATTTTTGCATTACATTATCAAGCCTTTGTTAATAACATTTTTATTAATTTTCAATTTTAAAATAGATAATAATTTGCCACATTTTAAGCATTTGAATACCTACTTATATTAAAATATAAAATTAAAAATTTTAGGTAATTCCTATTTTATGGAATTGTAAGAAGGTTTTCTAAGCAAAACAATTTTTATTTTTAACATATTTAGGTATTTTAAATTGTTAACTATTCTAATAATTGCAGTTATCCGATTTGCACATATCAAAAATGTTATTATTCTTAGATTTTACTGTTTTTAACATAAGTACTAAATATATCAAAACTGATACCAAAACACTAACCTCAGTAGTCAGAGTTAAAGGTAGGAACAATATTGTGCTCTGATTTAAGCATAATATATAATAATATTTCAAATAATAAAGTGGTTCTCTACCAGTCGCAAAATACAGTGATGTAGACAAAAAAAATTGATTATAAATATATGACATTATTAAGCAGTTAAGGTAGAAACCACAGGGAAAAATCAATTATTCAATAATAGATAGTAAATTAATGTTACATCAAACCTTGACGATTTACAGCTAAAAGTGCTTATTTTAACAGCTTAAACAACGGACTAAGATATACCTTAGTTCGCTACTTAAAAATAATAAAAATACAAATATTTTAGTAGAAAATGTATTGTAACTTTATTGTCAGAGTGTTTTAATAGGCATACTGCTATACTACTTTCCATCATAAGTGCATCTTTTGCTTCTATCCTAAAAGTGATATTGACAGACACAAATTCAGCCCAAATAATTTCTATACCACAAATTATACATGTATTATAGTGATTATTTTTTTAATACTAATACGGCGGTATTAAAGTTTTCCAGTTATTTAATATCATAGCATTGTATATGGCATTGTTTATTTTCAACAATATTTTATATTACCTACGTCTACACATATCAAAATATACAATGCAATAATTATAAAATAACTCCCAGAAAAGTATAAATAATTTTAGTTATCTTAGAAGTAAAAAAATGTTTCCAGTTGTTTTATGTATGTTTTGTCTTTTGTGACTTTAATGCCATAATTATAAGTTATAACATTACAAATTATAATATCAGTTGAATTGTCTAACAAGTAGCATAATTTTTTATGTTTAATAATCATTTAAAAACATTTTTATAATTTAATTTATTAAATTTAGAAGGTACTTGTTTTAATACACACTTTATAAAATTATTACAATTCTTGGCAATAACCTCAAACGACAAATTTTGCATGCAGAAAAATAACAGTGATTTATTTAGAGAAAAAAAAAATGGTTTTATATGTTTAATACATTAATACAGGTAGACAACTTTTTTTTAGAACCAAGAGTTAAAATGTATATATACATTTTATCAAGGGAAACACAAAAGTATAACATTTACGAGTGTAACAATATTGTGCGCAAAGAAAAATAATTTAAGAAATACTGGTTTCACATGACAAAGATATTAAGAAAAATAACAACAAAGATAATAAAAATAATAAGAATTATGTTCCCGTTGTAGATTAAGTTTGTTTTTATACAAAAAAAAAAAGCTTTTTGCAGCTACACCAAATTGTTTTGAGTGCTTCGGGTAGCTGACACCTCATTTTGGATTAGGTAAGATCTTATTATTCTTATTACAAATAAGAATTAAAAAAATAAATTACAAAAAAAAAAATGGTCAAAGCTTAACTTATATAAGTAGTAAAAAAATTAATTATATAAATAAAACTAACAACGGCTGTATGCTATTGGTCGATATTTTTTTTCCATTTCTCTATTCTTTACAATAGTATATGCGGCACTTCCTCCCAATACAACAAAATTTGAAAACCACCACATAGAAGATTTCCACTGATTATACCAGAATGAAGCTAATACTGTTTGGAAACAAGATTTTGCTGTACCAGATATATTATGAGTTAATGGAGATGTTACCTGAAATTAAAATAAAATTTAACAGTTATATCATGATATATTATGTTATATAACAAGAATAACAATATTTTTTATTACAATTTATTAAGTAATGCGTTTATAACTCATTAGGGAGGTTACTCACATACACAATATTGAAAATACTATAGTGACTATTACAGTGGTTATTGTAATTTCTTAAATTGCTTGGTTGTAATAAGGCATTAGCGCATAAGGTATAAAACAATATACTGAACAATAATTTAGGACAATCACTGTTATTGTAACTAGTGACAATAAAATATTTTATCAAAATACAATTTATTTTACTAACTATAGATAAGCAACGCCAATGCAATAATTTATCGCTCATTGTTTTAGTTTAAATTTTGACTCAAAAGTGGTGCATTGTGGCAGGAGAAGGTGAGAAATAAGTATCTACTTGTCCTCTGCCCCCACGTCCAACTAGTGAGCATAATTCAAATCAAAATAATTGCCGATAAATGATTGCATTAGCATTAGTGTTAGTCCATAACACTAAACTATAGTGTTATTTAATCTATGTACCACCTAACTAATTAATTTTACATTAACACATTCTTCTTCAACATTCAACATTAAATAGAATTACAATTTAACACGTTTACTGCAGATGACACCAATTGGAGTCATCTGCACCTCATTTTTTAATGCACTGTAACTCAGACAGTGATACAATAAAATAAGCAATAACAAATTTTTCCTCATAGTTACTGATACATTTTATATAAAATATTATAAATATTATAAATATTTGTGTATACAAATATGATCCGTAGCAATTAATATTTTTTATTTATTTTGAGTATTGGTAGATAGGCTAATCATTAAATGTAAAATTAACTTACTTGCACTTGGAGTACTGTTATATAACCAATTGATAGTCCACACACACCACCGATTATCATAAGTAATAGAAATTTATACTCAGTCAGTTTACTGTAATTGCTCAATTCCTTAGCTTCAAGCGCTAAAAGTGGAATGAATAATATAGTAGCGTAAACATTATTGAAGTAAGAAAGTAACCAAATTTGGTTATTGACATCTGGTAGAACTTTTTTAATTTGAATAGAGTAATATGCCAACGAAAATGAACTTAAGACTCCGAATAAGGTTCCAACTAACGAAAATGAACCTGTAAAATATATATTAAGAATAAATGAGTCATACTAAAAATATTATAATTTTTTTTATTAATATTACTAAATAAAAATAATTTATCACTTCTTTTATTTCTTGAATATTTTAAAATAATAATTATTGCATCAATATATGCATGTTATTAATTATTATGATAAGCTATGACAATATGTTGCCTTTATTGTTAGTATACAAATTTAATTTTTCATTATTAAAGACAATACTGCCGTCATAAGCCACTAAGCAGTAACTCCAAAAATCGTTATGTTCAGGAAACAATAAAACAGTTTTCAACACTAAATTAGTCCGTAGAGTAAAAATAATAATATTTTAAATATTAATGAGATTTCATATTATTGTATTTTTCATGAAGAATCTACTGAACACAAAAAAAAAGGTTTTTTATACATTGTTATGGGTTATAATGGACTTACTGCTTATTGGCTTATATTAGTCAGAAGATGAAAAGCAGTAAGTACACTTTTATTTGGAGTTACTGCCTAATGGCTTCTGATATCATTGGCATGTGTTTGTAAAGTGATGTTTATGTGTTCTAGAATTTTACATCTTATTTAATTAAGTTGTAATCACATGTATATTTCATTATTTTAATATTTTTTTTTGATCTGCTATTCATTTTTAAGCTGATTTACACTTAATAAGTAACTCGTACACAAAATATGTAGTACTTTCAAAATAATATGATGTTTATAGTGACTTATTACACAGTAAATACGGTTTAAATGTGTTTTTTTTTTTAAAATTGTGATTATATTATTCCTTATCAAGTTATTAGTAACATTATGGTATACATTTTAATTCTATTTTGGGACCAACGTTAAGTTTACACCAATAATTTGGATTTTGTTGGAGATACTGCTTTCTGAATACAACGATTACTAGGGAAAAAAGCAGTAACTCCAGGGTAACCCCTGGAGTTACTGCTTTTTGTTCTAGTATTTGGACATACTGCTTATTTGCATCTTATCTTAATGAAATCATGGACATACCGCCTTTCTTGTTATGTTCTTATCAATTTATATGGATTTCTAATAAGAAAAACATTAAATTTTATCACGGGAATCGATAGAGAATTAAAATATCTATCGATAGACACCAAAAACTCGATTTTGACAAAAATGGAGTTACTGCTTAGTGGCTTATGACGGCAGAATAAATATGTTGTTCCATTATTTAAATATCATAACTATGGGCATAACATCTTTTTTTACATACAAGATAAATTTATTTGCAACAAAATAGTATATTAAAAATTGGTTGTGAAATTAGCATTTGGATTTTTACAGAACTAAGAAATAAATTCTTGTAATGCATGTTGTATGAAGACACTTGCACAAATAATTCATAATATTTTAAAGACATAATCGATTATTTTAATTAATCAACCAAAATAAAATTTGACAAATATAAATGGATTCAATGATATGTTACATTTATTGAGCAATAATTTTTTTTATTCTTTATAACAATACCTGAAAGATTTTCTTGATCTACTCCCAAAAAAAATCCACACACTACGGCAAAACAACAAAGGAGACAACTAATTGAAGTAGTTTGACCTAAAAATCAAAAGAATACTTTTATAAAACAAAATAATGAATATTAACAAGCAAATGAATATTGTTAAAATTATTCTTAAACTATCATCATGGACTATTATAGTGATGAATGTATTTATACTTTTATTTCATATGATCAATATTAAGAATAATTATATGAATTATGAAACTTTCATAACTTTTCTAACACCAGATCGATAATACACAAAATACTTAATACTGTATACGCTTTGTCCGTACTAATACAATTACACCTATTACAAAATAAAATAAAAATATTTACCTAATATTAAGTAGGAAAGTATGACATTGAATACCGTTGTTAGTGATCGTCCCACATAATAAAATGTAACATCCACAAATTTTAGACAATAGTTATTTGTAGATATCATTAAAATATAAAGTATTGATAATGGCAATACCTAAAATTTAAAATTAAAGACATATTTTAATATTTATTAGGTACAACAAAACTCATACAAGGTTATATTTAGATAAATACCTTTAATTATTAAACCATGGGAACATTATAAGGAAGGGTTGTTTTTTTTTAACTTTATATAACAATTAGTTTCAACATTTAGGTATTAACAAGAAACATAAGTGAACAATATTAAATATAAGTTGTTTACAAAAAAAAAATTTTAATTAAATTAAAAAACGTATATGGTTAAAAATACATCAATAGTTATAATTAGAGCTCTGAAGTTGTCTCATTGCATATTTTTATTGAGCTTTTCAAATTATAGCTAAGTAAGCTTGAAATAATTTTCACAATACGAAAAACATATTGAAAGCTTTACAGTGCATATTTTTGCATATTAATTAGTGACTGTAGTTTTAATCATATATTTATTAATTTTATAATTTTTTAGAGAATAATTAATGATAAATGATAAATTGATAATAAAATTTGAAATTAAAATTGTTACAATAAAAAAAAATATGTACTATTATTTAGAGTTTTAATTTGGTATTATATTGCATCATGATTCTCAAACTCCAAGTTTTTTCTAATTTCTATTTATGCTTTAGTTTTACAGGTATATAATTGAATGGGAACATTTTAAAAGAAAATTAATTTTATTTCATGAACATTGTTCAAGTTATTTAATTTTATCTTATATTATTTTATATCTGGAAATTATGCTTAGTTTAATAAAATATTTGTATTAATGAAAAAGTTGAGTTAAAATAAAATAAGCGCATTTTTTGAAGTTTATTCATACTTTTCTAAGCGCTTAAGTGGAGGCTTATATTTTAGTCCTTTTTAAGTAAATTAAGTTAAGGGAGTTACTATATTGTAGTAATTAAATTAAGTTAACTATAGTTACAAAGGAATCACAGTACCTTTGAATTTAAAATAGAAATAGAAATATATTTTATAGTACTATTAAGTAAAAATGTAGAACAAGAAATTATATATTTTTAGCTACAGCCTTGCATTAATGGAAATATCTAATTACTATAATTTTCAGTCTGGACATAAGGGTAATACACAACTAGCATGACATTTAAGGACCTCACAATATTAAAATTACTGGTCCAATCAATATAAAGCAAAATAGAAGCATTTAATTTTGTTATATATTTACTTTAACACTTCATCAGTATTAAGTTACTTACTTTTCTAACAGTGGCTGTATTAAACGGATTTCCCTCAGGAAACTGTACTACTGTTGGAAACATCTTAGACAAACGACTTAAGGTGAAACAAATTATTGCTGAAACCAAGCACTGGAACCATGCAATGAATATAGGAGCATCAACATCTAGTTTGTCAATACTCAATAAAGTCTTATTTACAAATACTGTCAGAATAGAAATCACCCTGTAAGATAACAATCAAACACTTAGACGCAATATAGGTAGGTTAGTATTATGAAGTGAGAAAATATTTAAAAAATCAAAAAAATTATGAATGGATCGTAACTGCTTACCAATAAATAACAACAACAAAAAATATTTGGATATATTTCAATGATAAAGTATCGAGCTTCATCTCAAAAAAGTAATGTTAAGTGAATGGTAACTGGTGAGGAGACTTTCAAAGGTATGCGTTCCAAGTCTCGTAAAATTTTGGTAATGACATACAACGAGTAAAACTGTTAAACTACATCGTTAAACGTGACTATTTTTTATCCTCTTCTAATTACACAAAAAAAGGCATACGTATTTGACCAAAAACCGATATCACGGTATTGAACGTGTACCAAAATTCAAACAGAAAATCATTTTACCAAAAACGAAAAATTATGTCTGTTAAAATAACGACGTCATGGATTCGCGCGAAACGTTTGTCAATCGTCTGTCCGTGAACACCAACAAATATTATGTTATTATGGTTATTACAAATTACAATGGACACGTCTATAATCAATAGTAACAATAATTAAATAGTAATTAAATCATAATAAACATTACATTAACTTATTATTTACCACTAAAAACGTCGATATTCCGGCAGAGATAAGAAACTTTTTGATACTTGTGATAAGCATGGTATACCACGGATCACGATGTAGATAAAACAAATTTTATACAATGATATCGTTATCAGTGATAACTTATCACCGGTTCGAGCATCCGAGAGTCGAACTTCTGTCTTGATAACATCGCAAAAATGAAAAATACGAAACTGAAACAATTCTGAAATTCCAAAGTGTTCTGAATTGTTTTCATTTTGAGGAACTTTTTTTGACAAAACGCAGGTGCGCCGTGTAGATCTTGTGCAAATGGTGTGAAAAAGTCCTCAATGATGTTGTCGTTGAAAACTGGTAGGGACTTGTTCAAATGCCTGGTGGCGGCTGGTCGCTGTTCTCTTTTGCAATCGCGTCTGCCGACGTGCGGGACCACTTTAATACGACGGAGTTATGGTGACCACGGCAGCACCATTGGTGGTGGTCGCGATGGAGGCAGAGGTGACGATGACGACGATGGGTTCGTAAAGCCCGGCAATTACAAGATATTCAAAGATGACGACTCTTCGGTGATCTTGGACGTGGAAGAGGAACGTGCTTTGCTTGACTCTCAGTTGTCCGCTGACGATACTCGTTCAGATTTTGACGAAATCGATCAATTTGCTGGTTTCAATATGTCACGTGAGTTAAAATTCCAAAAACACCTGTAAAGTTAGTGTAGACTTGACACTAACTGTTTTGGCCTAGGAAGCTACACTCTAGGGGGTATTTGTTACACCGCTGACAATTGTAAAACTGCTATATTAATGTATTATGTCTAAAATAAAAATTGATTAGTTTATTAATTATTTTTAACAGTTGTATGTGAGGTTTTATGAGTTAGGGATGTCATAATGTTAAAATTAGGCATTAACTTTAAATTTAAAGTTAATATCTATTTATTTTAGGTTTTCCTCGAGAAAAAAATAAAGAACCTCTTTTAATACATTTTTTTAACTTTCAAAAACAAAATTATATTACAGTTTTACAACTAAACCTACTGTGGATATATATAATGTTATCAGTAATATTAGTTGGCAATAATTATAAACATAATAATATTTGTGGATAAAACAATAAGCAATAGTCGGGGCAATAGTGTTCAATTAAAACACTACTATTTACTGATTATGACTAGAGATTATAATAATTAGTGACAATAACCCTTATTGATACTATTCAAGTTCCTAAGGTTAAGCTGATTTCCCGGTACCCACTAGACACTAGTACCTTAATATTTATTAAATTTACAAGTTAACATAATGTCATTATATGAGATCCATAGAGTCTTACATTTAGGAAGCTTAAAGCACATTGGATAAACATATAAATACTGGATTCTGCTTAGACAGGCGAGCAATTTATCTCCTTTCCACTTCATTATATCAACTATTGTATAGGTAATTCAATAGCTGATTGTATTGTATAATACAATAACTTATACTACCAAACAAAAAAAACATTTCTCATAATACCTACTACCATTTAATATTGGAAATTCCTAAATTAACCCCACCACAAATTTTTTTAAGTGATTTTATCGCATTAAGATTATTTTCAAATTTAAAAAATCTATTAGATGTCATAAATTGTATTAGGAAATTGGTCAATTTAAAATTTCGATAATTGAGTAAAAAAACTAAACCACAAATCATACTGGAAAAGAAAAGAAATTGCATTAAGAAGATACAATATACAGGATGTAACAGATAGAACTGACTTGGAATAAATTATGTTCTAATCAAATTTTAAATTTTAAATTTGATATTTTTTTGGATATATTCAAAATAGCTAATTTGTGAATCTGATTATAAGAACAATTTTGATAGTAAAAACATTTATCTAAGTCAAGTAATTTATTTTTTAGAATTTTTTTAAATATTATTTTTTTAATTAATTAATTTTAAATGTAATAACTATTTTCAAAATATTTTTTTTGGGGACTTTGCTGACATGTTTCTTAAATTATTTACTAATCATATAATTTTGAGTATAATTTTAACAAATTTTTTAATACATTTAAGTAGCATTATTTTTTTTTTCGTCAGGTCTTAAGTTACATCTTGTATATTGGGTCCATCTTATGTGTGCTCCTGTTCTTTGTTATACAGTGTGGATGGTATGTCGAGAACGTACGAGTGTTTTTGACCCATAGCAAAAGGGAGCTAAACAAATCTGCGTTTGTTGTACTTGATAACTCCATACTGAGCACATACGACGCTCAACATGAGCACACATGCTCGGTCTGTGCGTGCTCTTGTGTGTACGCAGCTTTACAAATGTAAAATATAGCAAATTTGAGTTCAGTAGAACCAATTTAGTGTTTTCAATTTGAATATTAGAGTCAGTACCAATTGGCAATTACTATAAAATTTAAAAGTAAAAATATTATCTAGGGCTCCTTATAGGTTTTTATTGCTATTTAAATTTAAAGCTAGTTACAAACATTTTCAAATTGTAATATTTTTGGTACATGGTTAGGAGGTACTTAGTTATTACTTATAAAATAATTTAAAATTAAAATAATAATAAAAGCCTACAAGATACTTCAATTATTGATCAATTCACTTTAATATTAAAAACAAAATTTATTCGGCAAATTTGCAATGTCGAATGTTTGTAAGACCTCGACTAGACTTATGGATATGGCGATGGCATTCCTGTAACAAGATGATATAAATTTCATCAGTCAAAAAAATATAAAATATATATCATAGATTGGTATTGGATGTGCAGAATGTATATTTTACACAGGCCCATGCTATGACTATATTAAGGGACCATGAACTCTTGACAAGTATGATTATAATATTATATTGTTACTCAAAATATGTTTTATAGCGGATCTCTTTAATATGTTATAATTTTTCTTAAAACATTATAGTTTGCTAAAGACTTCCAATTTCAAACGGTAATATTACAAATGTACCAATAAGAACCAAATAATACCTTCATGGCTTCATACTTGATTTCTTAATATGTTATACTTATTTTACAAAAATATAAAAAAATTTTGTAACTATATAATAATATAACCCATTGGGATGATTCCGATAGGCTAATCCACCCCTGCCTTTATTTACTTTAGTATTTTCATCTATCATATATTATAATGCAAAGGAATATAAAAATATCTTCTAAAAATAACTCAGACCCCACCCTTCTTTCCCTATTTTTACATAATTAAATTATAATTTGTAAAAGTAAACAGTTTTGTATGTATTATTTTCTAAATGTTATAATAGTTTTTCTGATACTCTTTGTCTAACTTTAGAATACTATTGCATAATTGTTGTATGTAATTAAATTAATTAATAAGTTACACAAATGAATAGTGATGGGTACCTAAGGAGAAAAGAAAATTTAAAAATCAAAAGCATACAGACATACACAAAATTTAAACATAAAAAGTTAAAATAATAAAACTAGTATAGGCATAACACATAAAATGTAAAGCATAGTATGATGCCAGTAAAATTCATATTCTAATTTTATGTCAGATTTTATTAGTTATTAGCAGGGCTCGTAACTTCATGCACTAAAAAATGCATAAATAAGCATGTATTCATGCACTAAAAATTGTCAAAATATGCACTAAAAAGTTCGAAAATAATTAAATAAAATAATAATAAATAATATATAAATAAAATTCGAAAATAAATTATGCACTCAAAATATGCATTATGTAAAAACATCATGAGCAAATTTTAAAATAATAAGAATAAGTCCATACATTTTAAAAGTATTTTATTCCTTTTAATTTGTATGTATTTAACAGTCAAAATTAATAAAATAAAAAATTTATACTTGTGAAGTTCAAATAGCTTTATCATCTTTATAAATGGTAATTTATTAGTTAGTCATTTTTTGTCTAATTTGTATACATCCTTATCCTGCACCTACAATGAAAATATTTGGAATGAAATATTAGGTATTTCATTTTGAGATATTTTAGTATGATATTTATAAAAAATATATTTAGTTTAGATTTTACACTTTACTATTAGTGTTCTTTTTTCATGTTTTCCAATAAATATTTGAGAAAATATGTTTGTACCAATGTATAAAATTATAAATGCTGGTTGTTGAAAAGCTGCACGCGTATACATACCTTTACAGGTTTGTTTCTACGACAAACTTTGTACGGTGGAAGATGGTAGCGATTATATTGTTTCCAAGGTACTAGGTAGTTACACATTCACACTAGAAAAAAAATAAATCAAAACACTATAATTTTGTAAACGGGAAAGTAAATAAGAAACAAGAAACTTTTCAAATTTTTGTCTTAAAAACTATTTTTATGAAATAATATGCACTAACGACTGTAAAATATTGATTATATGCCAAATATGCCTTTACATCCAAAACATGCAAAAACATGCACTATCAAACTACATATTATTATTACTATTGTTATGAAACGGATTTGTATCTCAGTTGGCATGTTTTCCTGTGTAGTAAAGAAAACAGATACATGATGCAGATGATGCAGATGCATGAACTTGCGAGCCTTGGTTATTAGTTATTAGGTACTCTAAAATGATATAAGTACAACATAGCCACATAGGTATTTACATACTATAGAAACTGTAACTATATTTAATAAAATAGATAATTAGAATTAGAATTTTAATTATATTATATTTGTATGTATAATATATTAAGAGGACGCTATACCCGCATGAGTTATCTCCGTCTTACAAATGCACAACATAGCAAAAACACAAACAATAGTGGTTTTTGAAACAGTAAGAATTTTTTTCATATAAGTGATATCAAAAAAATAAAAACAATGTTACACAAACAAAGTTCTCCCTTTTGTGTTGAAAATCTCGTTTCTTAGTTATGACTGTTGCCTTCTCTGTTCATTCTCGCCCAAAACAGTTTTTTGCTATGTTGTACATTTGTAAGACGGAGAAAAAACATGAGGGTGTAGCGTCCTCTTAATATCTGTAGTTAATAAATTATAATTATAATATACCTAGTTAATTTGTTGTTGGTTGATTCTGATTTTCTCGATAACCTTAATACCTAGAAAGATAAATGTACGTTAAAATTAAATTACATTCTGTTGTAACAGCACCTACTTAGTAAATAGGTAGTAATATTTATTTCAATTACTTTGTATTTATAAGTTTTTGTTCAAATAATTTTTAATTTTACTGCATCATCCAGTCTGTAAGTCTATATTAAACTACTATAGTTGCTATTCAAATGCCTATACATGAGTACATATTAATTTATATTGTTTGTATTTATTAACAAAACTACTTACTTTATACTTTACAGTAATTCATAATTGTATAAGCTAAAAAATAACATAGTATAATATATAATAAATTGTAAATTATACGAATATAAACAAACCTTGAATATAATAGTAATGGTTAAAAAAGGCCTCAAACTTCAATTTTGCACAAGCTTCTTAATTAGTTTAGTTACGGCATTGGATAGGTATTACAAAAGTTTTTGACAGGTATTCGATCATAATATTATAATACTATTATGTGGCGGGACAACAACAAATCAGTATTCAAATAATATTACGAATGTCTATAGGAATAAAACTGTTTAAACAACATACCAAGGTAGATCAATCAATCCACCTTACAACATATTGTAAATATACAACTATTATTATTGATACAGGGGATTGTTATCAACTTATAATAAATATTATTTTGATAATGATATGTACACAAACTGTTGCTTATAATATAATTTACCCGTTTCTTATTCGAATGGTACATTTGTGAACTACAATGTATTTTTTCAACATAACTACTTAGGACAACCATAGTTTAAGTGTAGTGTAACTTATGTACATTTTGTATAATTAGTAGGTATTTAGTAATGAGTAATTACTAATGAATAAATGAATAATGAATAATAACAATTTATTTTCATAAGTTATACAAATTTCTTCAGCCTCCATCTACTTAAATTACCTACCTAAGACGATGTCAGCACAATATTTGTTTTCTCACTCTATTCCATATGTAACATATCATATGTATCTAATTTTATGTTCTTAGCTTTAATATTAGAGTGAAATGATTGACATATTATTAAACTTATAGGTAAGAATATTAACTAGGATGTCTAATAATAGGCTTTTTTGATATTTTAATTTAAAAATAAACTATAATTTATATAATATATTACAATTTTAAAAAGCTCATAACTTGCTTTAAAATCAAAATATCAATAAAAGCCTATGGGGTATCCTAGATAATACTCCTTAAATTTTCATCATTTAGGTACTTATTAATGAATTATATATTATAATTGGGGCACGGATGTTGTAGTAATAAATAACTACTAGTAAAATTGATTGCAGTATTGCACTAAAAAAAACTAAAAATTGTACTTAAAAATAACAATGTTTCGTTATAAATGATTAATTCAATGAGTAAATTCAACAAAATTGTAATAAAATGAAAAAAAAGCTTGCAAGTAACACTTTGCTGTACTTACATTAGATGTCTAGAGAAGTCACAGTAATGGATATGTTAAATTTGAATTCAATGATATAAAATCTTTGTATACGAAAAATGATTCTGAGCGAAGACGGTCTGTCAGCTTATAATATTACTACCCATGTATATTTCATAATATTCTTCTGATTAAAATAATTAATTTTTTTATTATTAGGCATTAGTACTACATTTGGTTAAATTGAATTTTGCCGAAAAAATTACATTTTAAAATTTCATTGTGTGTATAAAATACATAATTATATTTCAAAAGTTTCAAGTAACAAGGGGCTACGAATAATATTTTTAAATTACAACAAAATCGTTATTCTTCGTTCAAATATCTAATGAAGTAAAAATGTCTATAAAAAAAAACCTTGATTATATGTGAACAACAATTTGGTTATAATATCAACTACTTACGGCGAAACTTGTTTTAAATTTTCAATTCATAGCTACGAAAATTGAAAATTTTATAAGATTTTTACTTCAAAATAATTTGCAAATTTGTAATTTGACAAATATTGTCAACATTTGAACTTAAAATGCTTATAAAAAACAATGCCTATGTATTTTTAATATTTTTAAACTGCTATTGTAATGTGTGAGGAGCCTTGTCTTAATTTGTCAAGCTTTATAACCCAATGATTAAAATTTTATTGACATTTATAGAAAAAAAATTAAAAATTAAAAATGTCTTTAAATAGTTTAAATTTTAAAACGAGTAAAAATATTTTGAAAATGTTATCAAGTATAGACAATTATAAAATAATTTGGCGTATATTTCAAATATCCACGGTTATTCGCTTTTGAATTACAACAAAATAAGATCGTTTCGTCAATCGAGTGAATATTCACAATTTCGATGTCGTAAAAATTCGATCTTTAAACCCTCATAAAAATTTAATTTTACTTTCCGGTTGACATTTTTTTTTTTTTTTGTTTAAGGTAGATAAACTTATAAGATTTAAATGTTCAAATCTTAGATATTAAAAGTAAATAATTTTCAAATTTTCGTGATTTTAACGAATTTTGTCAAAATTCTAACTTAAAACGTTCACAAAAAAATATTGGGAATTTAAAATGAACTTTTTTTTAATTTCCACTAATAACAACTTATGAGGAATCTTGTATTAAATTTCCAAGTATTTTGACCGAGCAAAAATTTTTTATCAATATTAATTTTAAAAAAAAGGTGGGCAAGTTGGTGTCGCTCTGCTGTACAGTAGGTTACAAGTGGGTCACTCTATAATGGATGATATTAAATTTGAATTCAACGATATAATATCATTGTATAAGAAAAACGATTCTGAGCGGAGACGGTATGTCAGTCTATGTATAAGACATATTATATACATATCTATGGTATTAAACAAAAAATTGACCTATAATAGGTACCTATAATAAATTCCAAATTAATCATATCACAATATCCATTAGGTACTTATATAAGCGTTATACATCAACAAAAACCGTGATACTATCATAGATATATAATAGTACACTTTAGAAGTTTCAAGTACCCACGAATAATATTATTCAATCACAACAAAATAACTAAAATAGTTATTCTAGGTTTTTTAATATGTAATTTCGTCCAAATTTGAATTTAAAATGTCTGTAAAAAATAACTGTGTTCATATATTTTTTAGATTTTTTGGTTACAGTATGAACTATTTACGAGAATCTTTGTGTTGAATTTGCAATCCTTAGCTATAAAAACTGAACATTTTATAATTTATTAATTACAAATTACAATGATTGATAATTTTCGAGATTTTGATAAATTTTGTCAAAATTTGATCTTTAAATGCTTATAAAAAAAAAAACTGTGTATGAATTTTTAATATTTTTCAACTGATATTGTAACAATATATCAGGAGCCTTGTATTAAATTTTTACACTTTTTGGCCCAACAGATAAAACTTTATTGATATTTATAGAAAAAAAAAACTAAAAAAAATTGAAAGCTGTAAATGTCCATAAACAGCTCAAAAAGAGTCAAAATATTTTCAAAATTGTATGGTGTATAGGAAACGCTAATATAAACATTCAGTGAAATTTTCATGTATCTACAGTTATTCGTTTTTGAATTACAACAAATAAGGAAATCGCTACATGAGAAATCGAGTGAACATTCAATGTTGTAAAAATTTGAATTTCAAACGCTCATAAAAATTTAATTTGACTTTCCGGTAGAGATTTTTTTATTGATAAAGGTAGACAAACTTATGATTAATCTTGTATTACATTTTCAAATCTTAGATTTAAAAAGAAAAATTTTTACGAATTCTTAACTCAAAATAATTCGCTAATTTTCGTGATTTTTCCATATTTTTACAATTTTTGAACTTTAAATGCTTATAAAAAAAAATTGTGACTAAGGATTTTTAATATTTTAAATTTTTCATCTGCCTTTGAAACAATATATTAGGAGCCTTCTATTAAATGTTCAAGCTTTCTCAACCACCAAATAAAATTTTATTGATATTTTTAGAAAAAAAACTAAAAAAAGATGGAAAATGAAAATGTCCCTAAACAGTTTAAAATAAATCAAAATATTTTGAAAACGTTATCGTGTATATAAAATGCAAATATAAACAACCAGTGAAAATGTCATGTATATACGTTCATTTCTTTTAGAGTTACACCAAAAACCAAAATCGATTTTTTGGAAAACCGATTTTGCGTAAAAATTCCCGTTTTTCCTTAATTTTTATGTTGTTTTTCGCGGCGCTTGTGAAAACTACTGGAATTTAAAATTTTGACCTCCCGAATGCACCAACTAGATTCAATTTTCCGCCAGAAAAGATAATGAAGTCGAAAATCAAATCATTTGTTCGAATACTTATTGTTTACACAGACACGCATAATTAAATTAATATACATTCATCACTCCGCTCAGAATCTAAAATTACAAAACATTTTAAATTTGAATTCGTATTTATGTGAAACTTATTTGAAACTTACTTAGCAATATATTGGAACACTATAGAAGAAAAGTAGCAAATTGAAATGCAACAACATCCGTGTCATAATTAATATAATTTATTTTGTATGATGTTGGCTACATTTTGTTAGGTGATAGGTTCCGTGTAACAACTTCGTGTAAACATGTAACTTTTCGCGTACTGCAGACTCTGTTTCGAATGAGCTACGGATTTATCGTTTTTCGTGTGATTTCATACCTATATCATTAGCGCCGCAGTGGCAAACTGCCAAGTAAACTACACTCCACGTCAAGAACAGCCGATAGTTTGTCGCGTGTTTGGACTAGTAGACGTTCGCCATGATAACCGCCTCGAAGGCCACCATTGGGGTGATTTTGTCGGGTGTTGTGGGCCTGTGCTTTCTAAGCTACTTTATCTTCTTTGAACGTCGTAGCGACCCGGTAATCAAATCGAACCGGCTCAAGAAACGACTGGCGACAAATGATGGAGAAACTGGTAAACTGCTGACGCTCGAGTTGAAGTTGCCAGTCTCGATAAAACATCTTGCCGATCAAGAGATCTTAGTAAACGAGTTGAATATGGGTGAGTACTACTTGTCTCGCGGGGACTCGGCCCTTGGTGTCAGGCACCTAGCTAACGCGATGGTTTCATGCCGGAATCCCGACGTGCTGTACGGAGTGCTGCGGAACAAACTGCCCAAACACGTGTTCGAAATGCTCACCGAGAAGCTGTTACCGGAACAGATAGAACTGTGGTCGTCTTCCAACATTCTGCAGGACTTGGCCTATGACATTGAATAGTTTTTTTCGTCAAGTTGATTCTATAATTATATTTTGATGATGCGTTTATATTAATAATTAATTTATTTGATGCCGAACTGTAAAATGTCTAACAAATACTAAATAGTATAGTGATACAGTATATAATAGATTAGTAAATTAAAAGTGTATAATTGCAAAAACATAAAATAGAATACATTGAATTAGTAAAATAATAAATTATTAAAAAGTAGAATAGTAAGGTGGCTGAAAGTCTAAAATAAATTATTAAGCTGGTGGAACATTCTGTGTATGAGGTGGGATGAAACGTAAAAAAGTGAGTGGTTCCTTGTGGGATACGGGTAAGCAAGAATACTAAACGCGATTGACGCTAGAAGATCATGAGTTGACCGTCTCGACGCTAAGAAGTGAAGAAATAAAAAAAAGTATCTGCAATATATTTATATATTATATACAAATATAATACTATATTATTATTATTCGTGTATAATACCTAACTTCTCTAGGGGATCACCATGTATTACATAGCATTTAATAATATGCAACGGTTCATCATCCCTAGTTTTTGTATTCTTACTTGGGGTGTGCTTCCAAGTTCCCTTCATTAACGAGGCCTTGGAAACGAAGTCCAGACCATTTTTTTTTCACAGTCAATTTTAAAAATATCTGCCTCATAACTTATGACCAACATAATTTAGGTACAATTATATATCGAATATATTCAACTAGGTATACTTATTAATATATTATTATATGTACCCGGTGATTATTTTGTCATTGAACACTCATTATTTTAAAAAGTGTAAATACTTTGATACTATACAGCAGAACTATTTCCTGATTTTCATTTTATTTGTATAAGTTATAACACTGTTATCTTGACCAAGACCTAGGAAATTAAAGTAAATATATATTTTTTAGTAATATATTAGTTACTTGGTTTGTTAAAGGAGAAAGTAAATATATTATTGGTATTTAATTTCTAAATAAAAGTGGGAATACTAATGTTTCCCTTTAAGTAGGTTCTGAATTTTATAATACAACCTAGAGTGAATAATTTACTATACAATTAAATAATCAAAAAAATTTCAGTATTACATAAAAACAATTATGTACATATATTTTCTATGAATGTATATGTAATTGTAATATGTATATCACTTAATATGTATTATTTATTACATTAAATACTCATATCTGTTTTATATAATCCAACGTTTTTGGAAGTATTATATGCATATTATTATACGTATACATTATAATACCCACAGCACAGTATAAACATATTAAATAAATGTCGTTTAAAAATATTATATTGATTTTGTTTGACATTTCGTGTTTATTAGATGACGAGAAAACAATAGCAAAATAAAAAGGTCACAAAAATCCCCGAATTAAATTTCGTAAAAGGTAGACGTACTAAAATGTATTTAGGTTGTGAACTTTTCCACTCAGAGTATATTTTGTTGTTATCCATCATTTACCATGAATGAAATGCGAATCGCATGCATTTTATATGGCATCCACTTTGGTGGAACAAATTAGTGACGTGTGTCGTATCATGCCAACGGAGGAAAATCGTAAAAATAAATGTAAAATGCAATGTTGCAGTTAAATGTTAAAACTTGAGATAACATTTTGTATGGTTCTCTCATAAAAATATTTTATTTCACTAAATCAATTTTAAACGTGTGTTTTACGCATTTATATAGGTGGCGTGTCTGGAGTGTTCGAAGTGGAGCATCTAGTGGAAGTGCTCCAAAAGAACAACGCATCGAACGTGTTCGTCGTGTCCATCCTGCCAATGTGATGTACGTTGATTACATAGTAATCGCAACAGGAAGATCGCAAAAACATTTGATGTCGATCGCCGATTTCGTCACAAGCTTTTTTAAGAAAAAGCGACGGCCATCGGACAACATACCCAGAATAGTGAACAAGAAGCCTATAGACTGGATTGCATTAGACATAGGTGAGTTTTGTAGTGTCGACTCAAGTTTGAAGTTATTATTACTATAATTTGCATGCCGCATGCGCAGTAGATTCCTATGGATGAAAAAAATGAAATATATTAATTAAGTTCAAATACAAAATAGTCAAGGTATACGTCTGTTACGCTTGTTAACTTTGTTTGATCTTTTACTAAGTATACATTATATTTATACCATTTTCTGAACAAAACTCGATCAAACAATTTAATTTTATAACAATTTAAATTTTTTGAATTCAGCTGATCGTTTTGTTTATTTTTTCCGTACCCCACATTGTATCGAATCCGAATACAACGATAAATTTACATTGCTGGTGCTTTACCGCTTGTGTAAAATGTAGGCTCACTCGGCATTCGGCACTATTCTACTCGTACTGTGATTTCACACCTATTTAGTACTGCAGAAAATTATACCTATAAGTTATAAGTTAGGTATAACTTTACCAATATAATATAACTCATTTTTTTTTCTAGTCTCCAAATTTGGTCTTTTCCTACTCCCTTTAAAAATGTGAAATTACGTCATCCCTCCCCTACCACCGAAAAAATGCATTATATGAACATTTTTAGTCCTCACTGTTTTATTATAATATACAATATACCAACACGCGCTTATTATAAATTCACGTATATACAATGTAAGCGTCTATAATATAATAATATTATAATACCGTCGTGACCCAAAAATTACTACTGCGGGACGGCGCGACTATTATTTTATAGACGGATTTCACGCCCCGCGTCGTTGTTAATGTGACGGGTATATACGGTCTTCCATTGTTGTTGGAGAAGAATCAACGGACGCTGCGCCGCGCCACGAACAACGCCGCTTACAGCCGATCGGCGCACTGTGATAAAAACGAAACAAAAACAAAAAAAGCCATACAATTCTCGTGTGTGCCTGCCTATATATGTATACATATAAAATATAATATTGTATGAACTGCTGTCTGAGGGTCGTTATAACTGACAGCGCTACAATATACAGGGTGATTCACCAAGTATGCTCACCCCCGGTTTTTTCCTTTAAAATTGATTTGATTCAAATTCTGAACATCTTATTTAATAATAATAATAATAATAACTTTATTGCAACAATAACATCTTTACATATTAAAATAAAATAATAAAATATAGGAAGTATATATACATAAAATATAACTTATACATTTTATCAAAATTAAACAATATTGCAGCACTCCCAAAAAGCAAAGCTTGTGCTGGGAGAGCCAGTTCTTAAAAGAATTTAAGTAAGGTATAAGTACTATAGTAGAATATGATTATTAAAAAATATAAATTACATTAATTAATAGTAAAAAGAGACTTAACTAGACTAAAGACAAATATATAAAGATTATTAAATGTAGTAAAACAATATAATAAAGAGGCAATAACAAAAATTAAATACAATCTAAATTTAATTTTTTTATATATTTTTTAAAAGTAGAAAGATTCTTAAATTTATTAATATTAATATTAAATGAAACACATAAATGTAAGCCAATATAAAATGTACTTTTTTGACCAAAAACTTTAGTGCAATTTGGTAAGCATATATTAACATTTTGTTTAAACCTAGTTTTATGTTCATGATCAAATATTGGTATCAAGTGTTTATGCTTATATAAATCTAACAGAACAGACAAATTATAAATAAAATTGAAATTTTTTACATTTAGAGACTCATATAAAATGATAGTACTCGTTTGAAAAGGTAAATTAAATAAATATTTAATAAGACAATTTATGGTAACTTTTAGTCTGGATAAATGGATATTATAGGTTCCTTTAAAATGTTTAAATTTACTTACATCATATTTTCAAATTCTTGAGAATATTAATTGCACTACCTATTTAAGAAGAATATTGTGATTTGTGGTGAACTGCAAACTTCCGTTTTTCAAATAGAACCTCCTCCCTTTTTATTGTTGGTCAATTATTGACTGGATCATTTTTTGAAAACTTTTATGTACCTATCGGCTTACAAAATTCAAAAGTTCAACAAGTAGTTTCTTATCTTCTCATTAAAATGTTTATACATACTAAAGATAAAAATCCTAAAAAAAATCAGGATTTACAAAAATATAAAACAGTTAGGTAAAATATGCAATATTCGTTTTGAATTTTTCGAAATCATCATTTCAAATTTTGATTTTGATACTTCAAATAGTTTTAATAATTTACAGTAGAAATAGGGGGTTTTTATTTGAAAAACATAAGTTTTTATCTTCACTATCTTCACTTATAAGTAGTACACAAAAATATCAAGAATCTTAACATATCGTCTCCAAGAATATTTAAAATTCCAAAAATCAGATTTTGAATAACTACATTATTAAAGAAAAAAGGGATGAGCATGCTTGGTGAATCACCCTATATATGCGCTTTGGGCTGCTCGCATATACCTAATTATTTAGCTATGCGGTCGATCATTATACGATGCTATAAGGAACGTAGGTATATGTTATAAAAATCCTCGGCGGCACCGAGATTTCTAGCCTCGTCGATCAAATCGTTTCCTAATACTGTACTGCGGGGAGCGGCCGTGTCGTATTGTTGTGCGTTTTTCCTAATACATATTATTTTTGTGTGTGTCTGACGTCTGTCGATACTTATTTATCGGGATACGTCTGAGGGAATCGTATGTTCGATTAATAATTCGAATTGCCGCGATGCAGACAAAAAGACTCATTTACGTTTTGTTTTTTGTATTTTTTGGTTCATTTTATCGATATTGCTACGTAAGCTATAAATTAATTTCATATAATATATGACTGCTAATAAGATATCAAAAGTTTTTACTGCAAACTGTTGCATTTTTAATGATTTTTTTGTTCATTTGAGGGAATATTTCTTGATTTTAAAATGTTTTTAGTACGTGTTTGATGATTTTAGGGCATATTTGATGATTAATGCAATTTTTGTAAACAGAAAATGTACACATTGATTAATTGATATTTTAATCGTAAATTTAACAATATTTTGTATTCTTCATAATATTAAACTACAGTCTAATGACAGTATTTGAAGA